CTTGGTAGCCCAGGCTGGCCTCGAACTCACAGAGATCCGCCTGCCTCTGCCTCCTGAGTGCTGGGATTAAAGGCGTGCGCCACCACCGCCCGGCTCATTATTTTTTTTTTTAAAGATAGGCTCTCATTATGTAGTCAGCTTGGTCTGGATCTCTAAAACTCTGAATCCTCCTGCCTCAGCCTCTCCAGTGCTGGGATTATAGGCATTAACTACCATGCCTGGCTTCTATGCACATCTTTTCAAACAAATGCCTCATTTGCCCATGGCCAACTTTAGCCTCAGTGTGGACTCACAAACAGCCACTTCCTGTCCCATGCTTTTTCTTGTACTCGTGAAAACCTTAGGATGGACTGAACTGATGGTGTTCCCCCTCTTTTAGGGCATGGCACTGTAGGAACAGGCAGAGGCAAGGATATCAACTTCTGAGTCGGTCATGAATGAGCCATCCCTAGGACAGGTAAATGTGGAAAACTAATCTTGCCCACACAATTCTCTTGGCAAATTTTCTGACTTTTCAAACTTGCAAAGACCCAGTAGATAACACACGGTCATGATAAAATCCTCTCCCTTGTACTAACTACCATAATAATGAAAATTTTGTTTTAAATCATCCTTCCTATTGGGTGGAAGTTTTAAGAAGGCAGAATTAAATCCTCATTTATCTATCATTGCAGCCCTGTTCCCAGCATTAAATAAGCTCAGTGACTGTTGGTAGAATTTATTAAATTCAACGGCTCATTGTGCCTGTAGGTTTATTAGATACTTCTACTTCATGCTAATGTCCTAATGTATCTTTTAAGGTTACCCATGACTATTAATGATTATAGTTGCTAAAAATTGCTGGATTTCATGTTGGATGTCTGCTTTATTGAATGTGGAGTAAATGCAATCATAACTTTCTGGCATGTGATAAATGTCGATATAAATCATCATACACACACACACAAAGGGAGAGAGAGAGAGAGAGAGAGAGAGAGAGAGAGAGAGAGAGAGAGAGAGACTACAAGAACAACAACATAAAAAAAAAACACCCACAAATTGCTCTGCAATCAGCCATGAGGTAATTACTGAAAAACTAATTTGAGATTAGTGCTGTAGTCAATGCTGAAGACAGCACAGAACTCAAATTAGGAACAATCACTGCATCTGTAAAGATGGATTCACCGACAGCAATGAGACCTGGGAGACAACAGTCAACACCACGGCACGCATGGTAAGATGTGACTTATGGTAGAAAACACCCAACTCTATCGTATAGGGTAAATTGTGCTTAAAAGTAAGGCATTTTTGTACCTTCTGAGGGGAGGGAGGAAGGAGAGAGAGAGAGATCAATAAGACCCGGGGAAGTCAGTGACAGTCCCCGGGAGCCACAGCACCTAAGGAACACCTAACACAGTGGTGAAGGCATGGATGTGAGCATGGGAGGGAATGTCAGGAAAAGCCTCTGGCCAGGCAGAAGAAACCAAATGACTACAGTGTGTTTGTCCAAGAGTGAGAATAGACTAATTCTATGACACCATGTACTGCGATAAAATTGGAAATAATACCTGGTTAAAAAGTACAGCAGATTAACGTGTGTCTTTCAACTCAGAAACAGCATTAGACTACTTGAACAGAAAGCCAGCGAAAACAGTGTGCACAAGCATTTAGTGGGGCAGTGAGCACGTAGCAGTGAAAGGACAGACTGCCTATGCTACACAGGATGGAGTGCAGACTCCAGAGAGGCGTCAGCTAAGGGCTGCTGCTGCGATTCCACGGGAAGAGATCCGAGTCCAGACTAAGGTGGCCATCAGGGAGAACGTGAATGAAGAAACTCGTGGGAGGAGAGCAAAAATCATGGTTGGAGTAGAGGCACACTTGAGGATTAAAAGCTAAAGCTGTCGGGTCAGTAATGGAAGCACAAAGCTTCGAGGGGAAATGGACTTGAGCTGGTGCTGTTCATTTCAGAGGCAGCCAGGCAGGGTAACTGCTGTGTGACAGCATGCAGAGGAGCAGGGCACTGTCAAGTAACTGACTGAAGACAAGAGAATCTTTGAAATCTCAACAAGCTACACAAAACCAGTTCCTCAGGAAAACCCCAGCTCTACCCAGCCTTGTTCCCTTTAAGGTCAGATCACCCCCATGTGAATCTTCAATGAGAATCTTCCTAAAATATTGTTGGCAAAACTATTTGTTCAATGTGTCTGTTCCTATTTAGGCTGACATTTTCAAAGGCAAAGGGTATCTTGTTATTTTTCACAGAAAAAGTTTTAAAAACCAAGATCAATAGGAAAACACTTTATACGCTGTATTTTTGAAATGCTCCCACAAATACATGGGAAATTACAGGCATTTCCTCCTTTTTGGGGATTAACTGTGATAACTAAAGAAACAAGCATACTGACCAGCATGCCAGGGTCTCCACCAGCACTACAGAATTGATGGCTGTGAGGCATTATGCTTCCTAGTCATTTTAGGATGAGGAAAGGAGGCTGAATGGCATTTAAAAAATGTGTGTTACATTTGGAAAATAAACTATGTAGGCAGCATTGTGAATAAACACAGGTACAGGAAGGTTGGGCCAGCTTCATATTTTCACTTCAGGAGGTTCTCCTGTAGGCCACCCTGAAGGAAGTACCACCCAGGAAGTTGGAGCAATAGCCTCAAAGGTATTAAGAGGAGTTGGCCTATGCAGACCTTGCCCTGACTCTCTAGAGACTGAGCAACAGCCCAAGATGTCACAGCTTGTGCAAGATGAGCTGACAGCCTGCACCAAAGAGACTTACAGCATGCCTTCTCTCCCTTGCTGGGGACATATAGGAAAGGAACACTTCAGCATCCTCATATGGAAGCAGTGGTACTGTGGTTGCTACATCCTTGAATTTGCTTTTAATCTTTCATACTAATTTTTAAAATTTACTTACACTATAACAAGCTTTCATGTGACATTTTCATACATATTTCATTTTGCTTGAT